CGGTATATAAGAATTGTCGATAACTGAGTATTTCTTTGAGCTCATAAAATTTCTGTTGGGGGGGGGTGTCGTTTTTGATGTTGTGGTGAAGCGACATGTTAATGAGATTGTGATTAAAGGACCAGGGAGGAGTTGTTTGTTTAAATGTTCTTAAAGGTGAAATTTCGATTTGTAAATTTTTGCATTGGGTAATTGTATCTCTTAACGATGATGATATTTTGGGCTGCTTCTTACTTATTTTCAATTTTTGGTATATTTTTCCTATAGGGGAGTGTTTGGCTGCCATGATTGTCTTACAGTTTTTAAGTGTGGCGTGGATTGTTCTGGTTTCAATTGGTTGTATGTTAGCTTCGTACAGCAAATTATTTATCGGAGTAGTTGGAAATGCTCCCATTGCTAAACGAAGTGCAGAGTGGTATATTGTTTTTATCTTACTAAGTGCTGATTTTGGGCGATTTTCCATAAAGATGAAGGCAGTAATCTACTTTAGACAAAATCATGGATTTAACTATATTTATTAGTGTATTAGTGTGACAGTTAAATCTTTTGCTTGATAAGCATTTAATAATGTTCAGTCTTTTTGTAAGTTGTAGTGTGAGATTTTCTATGTGTTGGTTCCATCGGTAGTTACTTGTGAATGTGACTCCGAGTATTTTGAGGGAGTTCTCAGTTTTTAATGTAAAGTTGTTGGAATGCAGTTGAAAAGTGCATCCTTTTTTCCGGCAGATGTGGAGATGTTTACATTCACCATTCTATTGATTCTAGATTGTCAATGTTGAGTGAGTATTGGGTTCTATTAATTTTGTTCACTATTGTATAGTCGTCGGCGTAGGCGGAGAACTGGAATGTATTATGTTTGGCTATTGTTTTGTTTAATTTGTTGAAGGCTATTGCAAAGAGTATTACCGACAATGGGGAGCCTTGAGGGATACCATTTTCTAATGGTTTTATTGTAGAATGGGCATTGTAAGTTTATACTATTATTTTTCGGTGTGTTAGGAAATTTTATATGTACTTCATTATTTTTGGACCTATTTTCCATGCGGTAAGTTCGTCGATTATCGTGTGGATTCCTACTCTATCGAACGCTTTGGCAAAGTCCAATAATAGAACAGATAGGTGACTTTTGGTTGCGAGGGACGAAGTGATCTGAAAATCTAGCAAGGCTAGAGGGTCAGACATCGATTTTCCCTTTCGAAAACCCATTTGCCGACTGTCAAGTAGCTGGCTGTTAGTAGCTAGCCACCAAAGTCAATTAGCTACAATTTTGTCGAGGACTTTAGAGATACAAGAGTTTAGTGAGATTGGACGGTAGGAGTTTATGGATGTTTTATTGGTGTTTGGTTTTAATATAGGTATTATGTTGCTAATTTTAAACTGTTGTGGAATATGTCCATCTAGTAATTTGTTAAAAAGGTTAAGTAGGCGATTTTCAACGGTGGGGGACAAGTTTTTGAGCATAGGGTAACTGATGCGATCTCTTCCAGGTGTTTTACCATTTAGTTGATTAAGAGCGGCTTTTAGTTCGAGTAGGGAAATATCGTTTTCTAGTTTCATGGCTATAGGTGATGGGGAGTGAGTTACAGTGTGGCAGGAGTTTGCTTTGTGGTGTCTGAAAATTGGGTGAAAGTTGTTGTCTGTGGCTGCGGTTGACCAATGGTCACATAGGGTGTTTGCTATTTCAAATTTGTTGACTAGGGATTGTGTAGGGTTCTTGGGATTTACTAGGCAATGGATATCATGGCGAGTATTTAGGCCGCAAAATCGATTGATATTGGACCAAATTCTCGACGTAGACGAACGTGGGTTTATTTCTGCTGTGAAAGATTGCAGCGCCTCTCGTTTTTTAATTTTAAGTTCTCGCTTAAGTTTGGCATTAGCTCTTTTGTAAGTGAGAATGTTTTCTGTGCTAATGTTTCTATTGAGATTGAGCCAAGCTGCGTTTTTCTTATTTTTCAACTGCTGTAACGTTTTGTCCCACCATGGAGTATTAGTTTTGAATTGGTATGCACTTTGTAGATTTATTTTGACTATGTTTGCAGTTTCCTGATTAATTTGTTGGCTTGGTTGTTTTGTATTTGAATATTTGTCCGTGAGCTTATGAAAAAGTGGCCAGTAAGCTTTATTTAAAATAAATTTGGGCTTAAAGGCGGGTATGAGTTGTTTTCTTGGAACATTGTTAGATGGATTGGAAAGTGGTCGCTGCCTGAGAGATGGTTGTCTGTGTTCCATTTTATGTATAGAGCGAGGTCTGAGGATGCCATGGTAAGATCAATGTGTGGTGTGTGCTGAAGTGTGTCGGAGAGCCATCATTAAGAGTAATAAGAGAAGTTTGGTTAATGAATTTGTGAAGTGTATTACCTCTGGTGTTGTTTGTTTGCGAGCCCCAGCTTCTGTGCCAGCTATTGAAATCTGTTATTAAAGATGTTTCTGAGATTTTTTATTGAGAAGGGTTTGTTTGGTGGGATGTATGATGAGATTATAGTGAACTTTATTTTGGAATGTATTGTTACTGCTATTGTGTCGAAGTCTGCAGTGTTGATGTTTATTTGTTGTTGTTCTATGGAGTTGTGTACCAGAAGGGCCACTCCTCCGTATCCGTTTGTCGATGTGTTTCTGTGATAAAGTGTATAATTAATTGGGATGGGTATGTTTTGTGTAGAGTACATGTGTGTTTCTTGTAAGGAAATTTTTTGTGGGTTTTTGTTTTTTATAATGGTTTGCAACTCGATATAATTATTAATATAACCATTTAAATTCCATTGAAGAACTTTCAACATTTATCAAACTTTGCTTGGTGTAAATATATAAGTATATATGTATGTAAGGTTAGGTGTTTTTGTGTTTTTGTTCGTTCTTATCTTTAGATTTAAGAGGTTTGGCCAGAGAGTTTTGTTTATTACTAAAAATTCTAAGTTTAAGGTCTTCGGAGATTTGACTGGAAAGGTTTTTTGTTGGTTTTAGTATGGGTGGGGTTGTATCCATGATTGTATCATAGATGTCTTCGTAGGATGTGGTGATTCTTTCTATCGGGTTGTTTTGTTTTGGTTTGGTGACCTGGGTGTGACTGGATGGTTTGTTGCTATGGGTTGATATAGTTGATGTTGTGTGTATGGGTTTGGAGTTATGGCTTGAAGATGGTTTGGCTGGTTGTTCTGAGACTATTTTTGCATATGGTGTTGGTTGATGAGTGTGGCGGGTATGGTATATTTGGAGAGCGGTTTTGTGGTCCACTTTTTCGATTGTTTTGATGGTTGTTAGCTCCTTTTGTTTAATGAAGGCAGGGCATGCTTTGTCCAACGGACTGTGGTTGTTTTCATTTGTTGAATCAAATTTGCAATTAATGCAGAATTTCTCCTTTGTGCAGTCTTTGTTTTCATCGGTGTGTTTTTCGGTAGAGCAGTTAGCGCATGTTGTAGAGCTTCTGCAATTGCTAGCAGAATGTCCAAACTTCAAACAGTTGCGACATCTGAGAGGGAGTGGTACGTATGGGCGAACTCTTACTCTTTCATATCCTATCATTATGGTTTCAGGAATAGTGAGCGATGCAAAGGTTACAATGATAAGGCCGGTTTCTTTACGTATGAGGTTTTCTGTTTTTAGTATTTTTCGTATTTCTACAATATTTTGTGATTGAAGCTCTGCCAAAATTATTGTTTCCTCAATATTGCGAAGCTCATTTGAGTATATTACGCCTTTTGAGGAATTTAATGTTTTGTGTTCATTCACTGTTACAGGGAAGTCGTGAAAGTATGTTAGTTTAAGTAGCTTTTGTGCTTGAATATAGTTTTTATTTTTTACTAACAGCGTTCCTGCTCTTGTTTTTTTACACATATCCACTTCTCCATTGCATTGGTGGTCAAAGGTTTGGTTGTCTGTTCTAGTAATTGTAATGTATTTTGGGTTATTGTTGTTGTTTTTGTTCGTCAAAAGACTATTTAAGTCTGGTGGACGAGACATTGTTAGTGTGACTGGGCAGAAGCCCTACTGAGTTTTTGGTTTTTGTAACTGTTCTGCTGTATTTTTGTTTTTGTAATTTTTTCAAAATTTGTTTTGTGCGGTTGTTTGTTTGTTTGTGAAGAATTGTTTTTGGCTTTAACAGATAAGCACACGATTCGCTTGCGGTTGGTAGTTACACGTCTTTACTAGTCGAAGCTAAGAGTGTACTGTATAAGATGTTATTATTTAAATTAATTGCATTCAAACTTCGATGGAATTATTGATTGTATCGAAGGATTCAACTATGGATAGTTTCGATGCTCTAGCACATAGAGCATCCGACACATGCCCATCTCTAGCATCTCATATTTACAGCGACTTACCGTTTTAGTGTTAGCTAACAACGCTACAAATGTATTCTGAACAAATTTAAGAGTCATTTACCGTTAAGCCTATTTTGTGAGTGTATTTTTGCTATTTACAAAAGCAGAAACACACCTTTTACATTCAGAACAATCATATTTGGAATTGCAGACACAAAATAGTGTTGAATTAAAAAATTTAATACATAATTATATATTTTGGCGTCCCGATTTATAAATCAAAATTAAATGTCCCGCGTCGGACTTTTCGGGGATAACTCGACCGTGCGTACAACGTGCTGAGGAAGCACACAGTTCAGTCAGGACTGGCAGTCCGCCCGGTGCGTAACGAAGATATGTACATACGTACGTATAACCATACATAGTACTTATTGTACTATATTTGCCATTTGGAAAATGAACTCTTTAAAAAACTTTAGAGAGCGTCGAAAGAAGAATATCATATAGTAAATAAACTTATAATTATAAGCACATTTTACTTAGCCCAGCAAAAACGGGCAAGACCTGCTAGTTTTCTTCACACGATTAAACGTTTTTGAGATTGAGCGCAAAGAATTTTGACTGGGTACAGGGTATTTCACTGTCGGACTTGCCCGACTGTACATTTATCTCTTGTTTTTGTTCTCAATTCGTTGTTTCAATAATGGGTTGAATTTATCTGACTGAAATGTATTTATCTAAGGGATATTTTGTTTATATATTTTTATTTTACACAACGAAACTTCATCAAATCAACTTATTTTAATGAATTTAAGTCTTTTTCACATGTTCTATATGCTACTCCTACGCCAAAACCAAGTCCAAGCCAAGCCGGCCACACACGTCTTTTAAAGAAAAGCAATGAAGCCACGGATCCAATGACGAGTCCTCCACCTGGAATAAATAAATTTATGTATTTTAGATAGGTGAAAGTTAATAGTTTTGTTCATAGATAAATGGTAAAGCTAAAGTTGGGTGCCCCATCTTTCACATACCCTGCACCTATTTTTCTACGGAACTGTGTGTGACAGCGTTGCCAGATATTGCCATGTCGGAATTTTAAAACTTGAGTGATAAAGAGGGATTTTTTTCGTAGAAAGCGGGACATAGTGAAAAAAAGTATATACAGGGGTGCCAGAGAAATATCTTCCGCCCAAGTTTTGCTTTAAAACTAATTCTCGGTGCCACAAAATTCGCTTTTGGGATGTTTCAAATCTTGTTTGCTTTGCTAGTGCGTTACAGGATTTGTACAGAATTAGTCAATCAAATGTGAGCGTCGACAGTCAGCTGTTGCTGACAGCTGGCTTGGAGGGGAAATTCGAAAAAATGAAATCTATCGAAGTTCTGTGGCACCGACGAATTTTTTGGGAGTTTTCAAAAATCTCTGTGGCCGAAATCACCGGAGTTTTTTGTGGCACCCCTGATAGTCAGAAGTTTTTAAATATTTCTATTTGAGTTGAAATTACGTTTACGTGGCAATATATAGCTATAAGACACGTAGAGAAGCTAAAGTTGGGTGCCCCGACTTCAATATACCCTGTATATATGTGTACAAAATTTAAAAATTTAAGCAGTAGAAAATCAACAGCAGAAAATCAAAAATATAAAACAAACTTGCACAGCGTACACACATAAGGCATCTTTGTGCAAAGTTTGGTGTCTCTACTTGTTATAGTCTCTGAGATCCAGGTGTTCATACGGACAGACGGACAGACAGGCAGGGCTAGATCGACTCGTCTCGTCATGCTGATCAAGAATATATGTATATACTTTGTGGGGTCTGCCACGCCTCCTTCTGCCTGTTACATTTTCAGCTCCCGCAAACCTAATATACTTTTGTACATTTTTTGTACAGAGTATAAAAAGTTGTCATCCGTACAGGCGGCCGGTGACAGCGAACATCTATTTGCCCGCCTTACCAAAGAATATCGGCTACATATCTACGATCGTCCTACCAACTTTAAGTTCCTAATTGTTTCGGGTTCAGTCATATCATCGATACCGATATCATAATAAACAAGTAAAAGAGCTAAAGTCGGGTGTCCCAACTTTGAAATACTCTGTACGTATGTTTAGAATAATTATAGAAATTAAAAAAAGTAAGAGAATAAAAAAAAATGTTTTGATCCATTTTACCTCTTTTGGTATTCGAACTCACGTAAAGGGTGTATAATTGCACATATACAAAGCAATTGCGTCTATGTGAGTGTATGTATGTTTATGCTCGTATCTTCGTGTCTGTGTAAGCATGTTCGCAGTCAACCATAGCACCAGCATCAACAACAGCCGTGGGCAGCGCTGCAGCAGCAAATATATTTATGGCTTCTCGTTAAATCGGTCTATCATGATGAAACTTGGCATACGGACACATATTTACTAGCTGGGGGTATTTTCGAAATTCTAAGAATTACGGGAGTTAGAGAAAATCGTCTCCGAGATATAGGCGATTATACGAATGGAAAATCGGAAAAACTCCCATAGGGGGGAAGTGGGGGGGAAATAAAAAAAAAATAAAACAAACTTGCACAGCGTACACACATAACAAATATTGGTGCAAATTTTGGTGTCTCTACCTCTTATAGACTCTGAGATCCAGGTGTTCATACGGACAGACAGACAGGGCTAGATCGACTCGTCTCGTCATGCTGATCAATAATATATATACTTTGTGGGGTCTGACCCGCCCCCTTCCTCGAGCATTTTATGTACAAAGTATAAAGATGACATCAAATTACATATATGCGGCCAACACGTCAGTTATTGATACATAAAACATATAATTTGATCTCAACCTACTACGCAAGTTCAACTGGTCCTTCATAATCGCCAACGTGCAGTCAGCAATAATTGGCGCTGATTTCCTTAAGCATCACGGTTTATTAATTGATCTCAAAAGTAAACGCCTCATTGATCCCACCAGTTCACAGTCAACGAAAGGAAACTTAACTGACAGGTCGTACCACAAATCATTATAGAACACTAAGCTCGCGCACCATTCCAGATCGGTTTCCTGTTTCACACTGAAGATATTCTCCAGCGACTATATGGCTGCAAAGTTTTCTCTACCATAGACCTGATACGCGTATACCACCAAATTCCAGTTGCGCCAGAAAATATTCCGAAGACCGCTGTCCCGACTCCTTTTCGGCTGTTTGAGTTTATTGCATGTCGGCAGGCAACATTTCTCGCTAACTTTGAAACTAACCACAAACAACGAAACTACGCCAACTTGTCCAGCACCAGACCGGGATGCTATTACCAGCAATGTCGTCTTCACAGCCACACGAGCATATTCAGTTACCTTCTCCTACCGACCAAGTTACTGAGGGGGGTGTAGATGTGGCGACTTGGTCTCAGCGGACACAGCCCGGTCTGGCAGCACCGCATCGTCGAAAACAAACGCTTGTGCCCAGGGATCTATTTTAGCGCTCATAGAGTGATAATTCTTGTTCTTCGTACTAGTAACATACACATTGTACACGTAATCGTATCAGCACAGTAATTAAGAAATATAATACATCAAATACCTGGTTTCTACAAATGTAAGTAGATTTTCGTAATTTCTGAATTAAATTTCAAATGCTAGTTTTTTGTAGTCGTTTTTTTAATGTCATTTAGATTTAGCAACCAAGATTCTGAGTGTGCGATAGCATCCGTAGCAAAGCCGGATATTTCCTCGATTGCTCGTGCACGGTGAACGTGAGCTCAATTCCCGAAGGAGAGTTGGGTTTTTTTGTTGTTTTTATTGCATTTTTGTTGCTATTATTTTATTATTTTTACATAAAATATATATGCAATTTATATCGGGGCATTAAATATAGTTGAATAACTATTTAAGGACCTTATTTAAATAATATATGGCTTGAGTTAAAAGTTGTCTGGCATCCTCTTTTTCTTTTATTGATTGTCTCGTTTTCACTCTGTTATCTAACATAACAGTGAAATAAGAATAATATATTGTTATAGCTTCACTCGAATCAAATGCCTCGGTGGCCTAAAGGGTTTAAGTTGCGGTGTTCAAAGACGTTTGACCGCCGTGTTTATAAGTTCAAACCCGAGTGGGGTGTGTTTTTCTAGCCGTTTTCTAATTTCTCATATTTAAATTTACTTTATGTAATTTTAAAATGTTTACGATTTTATGCTGCAAGAAATGATTGCTGGTCAAAATTTATTTTTTTTTACCAATCTAAGGTTTAGATGATGGGCCATGCAAAATTATATTTAAATCCATTTTGTTCTTTTTCAATGTTTAACACAGGTTATACATACATATTTTTTATGATTATTAAAGAATCAATTACATTATATGTACTATATATGTGTGTACACATGAACTTCAAAATTTAATAAAGACAACAAGGAATATCAACCATGACCTATTTCAACTCGTTTTTTCTTTACTCGATCAAGGCCATGGCTAATGCTACTGCAAATAATTTCAAGGCCACAATAATAAAGAGCGTAAAGAGGAAGAGTTTTGACATCGCTACGGACACTGTCATATGACAGAATTTAAAGCTCTATTTGTCAATAATAAGAGCATGAAAAAAATTAAAAGAGCAACCTGCAATATTTGGCGAGATAAAAACGTATATACGAATGCTTAAAAATCCCAGCAAATCACAAAATGCCTCTCCTTTTATATTTTATTTAAATATTTTGATAAAATAAATAAACCACTATAATAGATGAATGAATGGTCAAAACGTATATTGCAAAACGTATGTATGTACATACATATGTACACACACAAGACACATGCATAATAGCGAGAGAAAAAATGTTATTTCTGCGCACGATGCCAACGTGCAAAGTGCAGGTGCACTCTAATTTAATTTTATGACTTTTAACTCGATTAAAGGCAATATGGCTAAGAGAGTTTAGGAAAGATGAGCGATATTCACAAACGCACTAGAGCAAGTCAAGAGGCACTAGTAATGGGCGTGTGAATTAGAAGGAGAACAATTAAACAGACTAATGGGTTGTAAAATAAGAGTAATTGAGTCGATTTTCGGTGACAGGTCAATTGCTTAATCGATCGTATTGATTTCAGTTGCTAGCTAACTTTAGGCGTGAAAGTTGATGTGGCGAGTGCAAGTGAGAATGTTTGTTGTGCGGAATTAAATAATAATAGTTGACGCGTTAATAAACAATTGCTTGTGCCTTAGCTGCTGTGACATTGCTGGAACACCAAGTAGCTCTATTTCATTAAATTTTATTTAATATTTTGAATAAAATTAGCCTTTTTTAAGGCTTACTTACTTATTTCATATTTCAAATTATTTTGTTTTAAATTATTATTTTATTGAGGTATGAGTAGGAAAATAATAGCGTCAGAATACGGACTTTAGAATACAGCGACGTGGGGACGCACAAAATCGACATAATGCTTCCCAAAATTAAGGTGAATATATCTCTATTATCTCTCAGAATGTCATGGTACCCAATAATATGAAGGCTCAGTAGAGTATAATAGGATGGTTAAGTTGGGATCAGACCAAATTTGCGTTTGTTGTTAACGCTTATGGTTTCCGCACCAAACGGAAAAAATAAAACGTGATTATATTCAGAATTCCAACGACTTTAGTGCGGACATTTCAAGTTTTGCAAAACATGTGCCCGCAGAATTAAATCTAATAAAAAACCAAATTTTTCCATTTCTAATGGCTTACATTATTCTAATTTGCCCGATTGTCTTAAAGGGCTTACTTCTTTAGAGGAACGCCTTATTTCTCCTCGCCTTCCATTTATGCTATTAAAGGAGTTGTAGTAAATGTCCCCATACCGGTAAGCAATATCGTGACTTCCCTCCCACGAGCTTTCCATGAACCCGAGGTCCTCCAGCTCCACCTCAAGCGTAGAATGGAATATTCCCATGATTCCATGGCTGAAAC